GTCAATTTTTTATCGATTCGGTTTTTGTCGATTTTTCTGTTTTTTGGTTATTTGTCAGTTTTTTCTTAAACATGAGACATACACTACCAAACGCATATTCCGGCGACTATATTTTTAACGTAACGCTATCAAACCAATTGCTCTTTGAAAAATCTATCATTTACCAAGATATATTGATGATAATTGACTCAAATAGTGATGAATAACTTAAGTACTCAATTAAAAATCGATTATTTTTAACATGAAATAATTTTTTGTACTTAGTAAAAGAAAAAGAAGGCAAAGAATTATATTATTATAATAGCAAATAACTAGACTAAAAATACAAATGACTAATATGTACCATAAAAATTTAGGAACTTTATATAAAAATATACATATATACAGGTGTAATAATAAATTTAAATAGATACTTTTATAGTCGGTTTGGTTCGTTTTTTTCGGTTATTTTTTATTAAAATCAAAACCAAACCAAATTTGATCGGTTTTTAAAATTTAAAACCAAAACCAAACCAAACCTAAAAATATCGATTTTTTTGGTCGGTTTGGTTCGATTTTTCGGGTGTTTATGAACATCCCTAGATACAACTCAAAAACTCTCTGATGATACTACATTGCATGAAGATAGAGTTGATAAAATCCTTCTAGAGAATACTCAAATGTTCCTCGAAGTCGTTGTTGCACAATTGAATGAAGCTGGAACTGCTGAGATTGACAAAGGCATGCAGTCTGGCGAAACCGCAGTGGAAGACAAACGTCAAGGTATTCTATAGATCGCGAATTTATTACATTTGATCCAATTATATATTTTCAGTTTGAAATTTTACATATTTTTTCCTTTTTTATGTTTTTGATGATTATTCAGAAAGACTCAATGTAGCTGAAAAAAAAATTGGTGAGATCATCCGGCTATATAAAAAAGGAGAAATACATCTATTCACACATGTTGGCTCACAGACAGGTGTGAAGTGTGTTTGTATTTTTAAAAAAATTTAGTTAGTATTATTGAGTATATTTTTTTTTCTTGCATGAAGATATAGGCGTATCTAAAGGTAATGGAAGTGGATCCGTTGGAATGCAAATACCATATGTATCGCAACACTTAGACCAGGTAGTTATCTTCTGCAATTCGATTATAAGGTATTTTTTTTTGCCTAATGTGTATTTTATATCAATTGTATTTCATGTATAAATTTTCCTTGCTTTTGCAGATCTCATCTGATGCATCACAACTTCTTCCAAATCCTAAGAGAAGGGAGATGTCCAGTTCTCCTAATGTTATGAGTGACACCGATGATATCCCCAACTTCAAGTTATGTTCATTTTCGCTGGGTAGTACAGAAAGGACCAGTTCAGAAGGTAATTCTACTGCTATTGTTGTTGGCGAAGAGAGACAAGAATATCGTGAACAACAGGGAGTTGGTCAAGTATCTGCCACCATGGTTGTGGATTTTTCCCCTGCTGCTGAACCGCAGCAGTTAGTTATGACGGAACAACAGGAAGAGCAAGCAAAAAAGAAAACCAGATAAAATAAGGAAAATGATTCGTATGGAGAATATTTGGTTGTAATCTCCTTGCGTCATTCCTAAGCAAAAGCGAAGGGGGCAATATTGGAAAGTAGAAAATACTACACGAAGGTGTCCCTTCCATTATGTTAATCAAGACAATGCGTTGATGCAAATATTTACAGACTGGTTGAAGACGGATACCAGTGAATATAATTCCAAGCCATTCAGATTAGCTGGAATTGATATTCCAAAGCCATTCTTTACCGAGGTTATGAATCTAAAGTCACCCCAACATGTGTAGCATTACTTTTTAAAAATATGGCGATCACAAAAGTATAATCATAAATTGCAATACTACAATAACAATAATTACATTACAATATTGAACAAGTTAAAATCGGTTACACAAATCTACATTGATCGTATTTTTATAAATCACGATATTTCACTTGAATTCCTTATATTTCTTGCTAAGCAAAAAAAGAAAAAAAAGGTTGGTAACAAATTCTACTAGGTGTACATAATGTACTAGTTGTTCAGAGTTCGTGTTGAGCACATTTCAAACTCAACCTCTTTGTTAAAACTCCTCGATCCTCATCTCTCAAATGCACCATAATAGAATGTGTTACAACTTTTTTGTTCATCTCGTTCGTTCGATGGCAAAGTGCACAAGTAGTCATTTTTAAGCATGATATTTAAAATATATTTATAATTTATAATGTGTTTAAATATTAAATAATTCACCCAAACTTTAGGACTAGGTATCATGAATTTTTGTATTCTAAATCTTTTAACTGCTAATTTGAAATTCATGACTTAGTGTCCTACAATTTTGAGTTGCTAATTTGACATTCAGGACCAAGTGCCCTAAATTTCTGAACTGCTAGCTTAAATTTTAGGACATGAGATTTGAATTTCTGGATACAATTTTAGAACTTTAGGACACGATATCCTTAATTTTGAACTTTAAGGTTTAAACTTTAGGACACAATGCCCTGAAGTTTGAGCGAATTGACTAATTTTTAAATACATTATAAACTATGAATATATTTTAAACAACACGCTTAAAAGTGGTTACCTGGTGTCATCTCCACGGGCATTGTAAATTCATAAAGCCCAACCGTTGAAGTTTGGATTAAGCTTTCCTTTTCTTTTTTTTCTCTCCGAACAAAGTGAAAATGACACTAGGTTAGCCACTTTTAAGTATGCTATTTAAAATATATCCACAATTTACAATATATTTAAAGATTATCCAATTCACTGAAACTCCAAGACACGACGTCCTGAAATTTAAATCTCAAAAAGTTCAAACTTAAGGACATCGTATCCTAAAATTCAAAAATTATGCCAGGAAGTTCGAATATTATGTCCTGAATTTTAAATTAACAGTTTAAAAATTCAGGACACTTAGTTAGGAGTGGGCATCGGTCGGTTCGGTTCAGTTATGAATATTATCGGTTTAACATATCGGTTATAGGTTTATAAATTTGATAAACCAATAACCGAATCGATAAGATATCGGTTATCGATCATTATCGGTTCGGTTATTGATTTACCCGATGAGATAACTCAATCTAGAGTCAAGCAAAAAAGAGAAGACAATTCACTGGAATTAAGCAAAAAAGAGAAGAATTCACGTATAGTATACTACCCATTTCTGCGTTCTGTCAAGTGGCCACAACTGGAATAGTACTAATTCTTCAACAACAATTGTCCAAATATATTTTAATAATAATACAAAGTAGTCGCAATTTCACCTTAAAATTAACAAGTCCAAACATATAATACTAACAGTTCAAATTCAAGTTAACAAGACAACACCTACTCAATCCTTATAGGCTTCACCAATTGCATTCCAAACAACGTCCAACATGCCTCATTAAGGACTCAGTACCACTTTGTTGTGCATTGTAATGAAAAATAAGATGACAATGACTACATCTTGCTTTTCGCTATTCATCATCACCCTCTTCAATCCTTTCATAATAACTCCAAATAGGTGAGGTAGTTTTGTGACCACAAAGTCGAGGCATGATTATACCTATTAAACATAAAAAGAAAAAAATATTAAGTCATATAAATTCTTAATAATGCATACTATAGAAGTTGAATAATGAACTTACCAAAGTTTCAACGGTAAAAGAATACATGTCCTAATTCTAAAAGATGTCAATAAACACCCAAATACTCGTATATAAAAAGAATTAAACCCCAAAACAGTGACTTCAACATTATTGATTAGTAAACAATAGAAACACAATCGACTTCAATATTATTGCCTTCATTGTCAACTGAAATCAACCGAAACCCCAAATTACCAATATCATTATCAACATAACCATATAAGTAATGGCAACACTAAAAAAAATCTAGCCACTAATTCTTAACTTAAAGTTCAATGCTTTGGGAAACCCACAACAGAACTGAAATAATTTCAGACCCCAAAATTTCAGAACTGAATCTAAACAAGAACTTGAACACCTACTTAAAATTTTCAAAAATAGAAATATTTTAGTATCATAATTGCTAAAACTAATCAAAGCACAAAAGCAAACTCATAAAGAAACATTAAACAAACAATTGAATTAAATATTATTACCTCCCATATAAACTAAAATTAACCAAAATATAGTAAAAATTATAATTTTTACAACTAAAAGCAAAGCACAACATAAATTAGCCATACAAAAATATGAAAGTGAATGAATTTAAGCAAGAACTTGAACATCCACTTAAAGATTCCACAAATAAAAAGATTTTACTGACATAATAAATAATTAGTCCAACATTATTACCTCCAAATAGTCCAAGATAAACTGAATATTATTTGTCAAATGCCTAACCTGAAAAAAGAAGCTAGTAGTAGGTATAAGCTGTACAACGTGAGCTAACAAAATTAAAAAACGAAAATAAAAAAATTAAGAATCTTTAACAATAAAAAATCCCTATATGAAGAAGAATTTTGTTATAGAAATTAAAAGCCTAATGTATAAGACTAAAGACATACACTAGGAGTAACTAGTAAGGTCTATGAAGAATGAACATGGAGCAACTGAAGACTGAGGAATACGGCTGAGAAAGAATAGGAAAGAATGAAGTGAAGCCCTAGCATATGTATATACTTAAAGATAAAGTAGTAATTTCATTAATTCTTATTGGGTTATCGGTTAACCCATTAACAAGATTGGTAAACCGAGGCCCGAACCGATAACCCAATAATGAAAAAATTCTAAACCGTTAGCGAACCGTTAACCTAATAAATAATTAACGGTTTGGGTTATCGGTTTTATCCGATATATGCCCACCCCTACACTTAGTCCTGAATTATAAATTAACAACTAAAAATTTAGGACACTGCTTAGTCCTAAAGTTTGGATAAAATGGTTAATTATTAAATATATTGTAAAATATGATATATTTTAAACAGCGACCTTAAAAGTGGCTACTGGTGCACAAAGTCTAAAACCCAACCCAACATTCGCCCAAAAGTTGTTCAAGAAGACGACGCGCACGTCACACCGCGCTCACGTTAGAGAAAACTTAGACCAAACGTAAAGAAAAGTCAATCGGCGCACGTTAGCTAGTACCATCTTCCCTTCTTCACCAAATTGGAAAATCGCAGACGATCAGAAGGAGAAAATAACCATAAAACCCGCACTCACCGTCACCGATCACTTCCTTCTGATCGTCTCCGACCAATTCTCCGGTCATATCATATCAATTGCGATTTCATATATAGAATTTGTATTTTAAAAAAGGCACGAAAATGTGGGTATTTTATTTGATCTCGTTGCCATTAACCCTAGGCATGGTGATTTTGACATTAAAGTACTTTTCTGGTCCAGACGTGCCTCGTTACGTATTCTTCACTGTTGGTTATACCTGGTTTTGCTCTATCTCCATTATTATCCTTGTGCCTGCTGATATTTGGACGGTACACTTTCATTCTTCTTCTCCTATTATGTCATTTTAGTTTTAAATTGATTTTAATGTTTTGCTGACCTGAAATATTGGAGTAAAGCTAAAGTCACATGCGAGTTGTCTTGAAAGACTATAATAACTCCAAAGCCATGGATTTATGTAGGTCATACCAATTCGTTGGAATTAAAGCCTAGTTATTGTTGAAGCACTTTAGAGCACCTCTAATTTTGTCCTAAAAGATAATTTTGAGTATTGGAGAAGTAGGTCCACCAAGGGTGTCACTCAAGAGTGTGGCTTAGTGGTCAATGAAGTGGGAGGAGAATCCCAAGTTATCATGTTCTAATCACAACGCTAGGTGATTTCCTTTCCATCTGCCTAAACTTTAGTAGGTGGAGTTACCGAGTACATGTGATAGGAGGTAGCAGGTATCCGGTGAAATAGTTAAGGTGCATGCAAGCTACCACGGATACCACAATCATAAAAAATAGGTCCCCCAGGGTTTTGTTTTTTTTTGGGGGGGGGGGGGGGGTTGCGTGTGGAACTAGTAGGTTGTGTGTGGAACTATTAGCCATTTCACGCTCCTGAGGTAGTTCCACTGGGGTGAGGAATTTTCTGTCTCATCAAATGCTCTGCATGATGACAGTTTTAAATCTAATCTTTGGTCAGTATTGTAATGAATACTCTTTTTTGGTTATGGTTCATTTTCAAAGACATTTTTTTTAATATTTATGTATGTTGTGCATGTTGATGGTGCCGGACAAGTTTGTTCATGAAATTAGTGCATGTCTAATGGGATTCTCGTTGTCTGGTGTCTTGCATTAGCTGAATTTTGAAAGAACATATTTGGCCAGTCTTCTAATATAGTGAATGGATTTTCTCTCTGTATCTAACTAATGTCAGGAGTTTTACAAAGTTTAGTGAAATTAAGATTAGTAAATTGTGTTGTCTTTGATGTAAATGCTCATACAAAAGTTTATGATGTTTATTTCGTGTTGATTTGTATTGTCTTTTTGTTCAGACAATAGGTGGACATGGTAATGGAGGCATATCATTCTTTTGGAGCTGGTCGTATTGGAGTACATTCCTACTTACATGGTATGATGGACTTCCATTTGTATCTGTTTGCTTCTGGATGTGTATCTGCTGAAGATGGCAAATGCTTAAACTTTTTCTGCTCATGTCATATCTGTTTTTCGATGCTCTTTGTTTCAGTCTGCTTGAACAGTTAATTATCTCCATTACCAGTTATTGCAGTATAGCCAACCCTGTGAGATGATTGACTAATTGACACAACCTATTATAATCTGCCCAAAAAATGTGAATTTGGTATCTTGTCTAAAATAAAATTGAATTACATTGATGCTAGATCGCCTCACTCAGACCTTTTGCTTGTTGTTTGTAACAAAGTGCTTTGTGTAGATATTTGTGTCACAGATAGGCAACATTCTTTTGCTATTAGTTGGCTGGTATTATATTTGTCAGTTTTCTCTTGGGAGCTATCTCCATTTTCACATTTCTATGACGTGTGTTTCCTAACACACATTATTTATATTTGTTGAATAGGCTCGTGGTTCCCCTCATTCAGGGTTTTGAAGATGCTGGAGACTTTACACTTGTAGAGCGATTGAAGACTAGCATACATGCCAACTTGGTCTTCTATGCCATCCTGGGAGTCGTCGGTCTTCTTGGACTTATTCTCCTCATTACCATGCGGAAACGTTGGTGTGTTCTTTTTGCTCTAAGCATTTCTAATAATTTTTAAATCATAAATCTGGGTTCCTTTGCTACTGTAAATTGAAGGATACACAGGCTGTTTATCCCGTTCCTAATTTACTCTCTCCAAACTAGACAGAATGAATTTGTCCTTCATTGGCTTTATCATCTGCTCACATCCCATTGTCAGTCAAATAGATCCCAAATTGTATATAGTGTGTCGCTTATGTTTTGAAGGATTAGAGAGTGAATTTTGTCAGTAAGTTGAAGAAGCAACTCAACCATTGTATCTTCTGTACGATTATTTTAGTAAATAATCATGTGTCCATTTTGGTCAATCATAGGGATGGTAATGCACTGGGTTTTGCTATGGCATGCTCAAATACTTTTGGACTTGTGACTGGTGCTTTTCTTCTTGGTTTTGGTATGAGCGAAATTCCAAAGAGCATGTGGAAAAATGCGGATTGGACTACTCGTCAGAAGGTGCTTTCTCATAAAATTACCAAAATGGCTGTGAAGCTTGATGATGCCCATCAAGAATTATCAAATGCTATTGTGGTAAGTCTTGCTTATGATTCTGCTATGTGTTCAAAATATGCTTTCTACCTTGTTCGGTGGGTTTGGGGCTTTGGGCTCATTTCTGTACTCAGGTTACAGCTTGCATTTGAAATGTAATTGAGATATTATGCTATTGAATAATGTTGATAGAGTGGCCAAGAAATTGCAAATTGTATTGTCAATGATTTTTGTTTGTTCCTCTTTTTTTGATAAGGCAAGTTGTATTAATCAAAAGGGAGAGAACTCCCGTGTACACAAAGTATACCAAAGACGTAGAGAATTTACATCAGAACATGATTCTCTACAAAAGACGCCCAATCTTCTATACAAGTAGGGGCTAAGTGAGTGCACCAAAAAGCGATCAAAGATAAAAG